TTATAGTGTCACTTGAGGACAGGTAACATTTAAGTTTGGGGGTATTGATGCACCTAAAAATTACCTATTTTTAGAGTACATTTCATGCTCATTTTATTCACATTTTTAATGATAATACACTTTAAAGGAAGGTATTTTGCATATTTTTTTTTTATCTTCAAGTACAATAAATGAACTTTTGGTAAAAATGAAGCAAAAATGGTTCAATTTGGAGCCAAAACAAGCAAGAAAGAAAATCATGACCTAGCACATTTCGATGTCTTTATATGTTAAATCTCCTTTACACTTATCACATGTTTTTGAATGAAATTACACTTTAAAGAAAGGTTATTTTCTTTCTTATCTTATATTTATATTAGTTAGGAGCAAAACACAACTAAAATGAGGCAAAACGGAGCTGAAACGGAGCCAAATGGAGCAAATTGGTGGAGTTGTTGCAGGGCGGCGCTAGTGGCGCCAAGGGCGCTAGAATCTAGAGAACAGGTGCAGAGGCGCCAGAGATGGTTATGGATGGCTTTTTGGTGGTTTTTGACTATTTTTAGATGTTTTAGAAAGCTCTAGTGGTTCAAGGAATCTAAACACTTAGGAAAGGCTCTTGAATGAAGAGATATGTCTTTTGGATGGAGAGATTTGTCTCTTGAAAGAGATGGTTATGGATGGCTTTTTGGTGGTTTTTGACTATTTTTAGATGTTCTAGAAAGCTCTAGTGGTTCAAGGAATCTAAACACTTAGGAAAGGCTCTTGAATGAAGAGATATGTCTCTTGGATGGAGAGATTTGTCTCTTGGAATGAAAAGATATGTCTTTTAGGAAAGTGAAGGAATTTTGTGTCTCTTTAAAATAGAAGGGTTGACCCCTCTCCTAGTGTGTGTGTGTGTTGGTGTGTATGTTAAGAAAAACGAGAGGAATGCTTAGAGATCTTAGAATAGGAGTAGAAATGTAGATTTATACCTTTTTTGGTGAGATTGGAGAGGGGATTTTGAGAGAATATGTAAGGAATTGTACTAGCATTGCATTGATCAATGAGAGAATTTGTGGGAGAGATCTTTATCTTTCTTTCAAAGGAAAAAAGCTAAGTATTGTGTTCTTCATTATCTTATGATTTTGTAAACACTTATCAAGTGGATTTGATTTAATGATTTAATGTAATGAAGTTTTTTGTAATGAAGTTTTTCGTTGTGTTTTCTTCGTGCTTTGTGAGTATTTTATTTACTCTTTATTCCTGTTAGGAAATAGTGGCATGAGAAGATTATGTTGTTGTTTTCATTTTAGTTTTCTTTTGCAATGAGTAGGATTTATGTGTAGGATTTTGGGATGCATGTTAGTATGCGATTTAAATATAAATGTGATGGCTTTTACTTGAACTTAGGCTTGTTGTAATGTTAACATTTGTTGAGAAACATAAATTCCAAAGGGCTATGCTTTCTACAACAAAGTAAGAATAGCATTCAATTTCATGGATGAGAATGTAGTCCATGGGTTTGAGTGCAAATAAATAGGGAAATATACTTTGATGAGCTTAGAATTGAAGATTTTAGGGTGACAGACTAAAATCCACAATTTGGTCCAATTGCTTGGAAATTAAAGCGAGATTGTTAGCCCACAGGGAAAGGAGAAGTGGGAGCTCTGGAGTGAGACCATTATCCTCTCAACCTAACCATGGATTTAGAGATCAAACTCTGGATTAGTCAATATTTTTTATGCACTCTCAGAGGGTAAAGAATATGATTGCTCCTATTTGGTACATACAATATTTAATGTATCTTATTCCTATACATTATCCAATTCACTACATAAGAATAGTAGCTTTTAACATCTCAAAATTCTCCAAACCAATTCATCCAGAAAGGGGTATCTTCAAAATTAATATTTTCATTTAACAGTAGTTGTTTGTTGTTTTAAACTTAAAACTTACCTTCAGGAGTACTTATTAGAAATATCACTTAAATCGACCTTCAAAATTAACAACTGAAATTAGTAGGCTATAATTAGCTTAAGGGATTTCTTACTTTGCTTCTTTGTGGGATCGTTACTTGAGTTTTTTAAAGATAGCCCTATATTACTTGAAGTGATATGTGCACTTGCGTAGAACCTCTAGTGTGTAAACTATTTTATATATTTTATAATGTTTCGATTTTGCACACCAACTTCTTAATATACATTGGGTCAAGTTTTTAACTATATTTTTGGAAGCTAAATTACTGCGTAATTTCAAGATGGGTCAAATTTTTGACATTGTTATCGAGGATTTAAATTAACATAAAACACGCAAGAAAACAACACAAACTAGGGGCGTATCATAGGTCGGCAAGGATTCCACCACAAGAAAGTCCTCTATATTATTGTACTACTTCTCGGGTTCTCTCCAAGAGATGGGTAGGGGAATGAGGCCCAGTGCCTCTTTCCTTTCCCCGAAAAATCTAAACAGTGTGCTGGCAGGTGTTGTCAATCGGTTGGTCTTTAGGTCAATTTTATCAAACAACGTTTTGCATAGGAAGTTGACCAAACTCCTAATATCAACAAAAATAGTATCCACCTGAAAATTTTTTATTGGTATTGTGACGACGATCGCTTCATTGTAGGGGTTCCCCTTAGGTGGGAGATCCACATCTGTAAAGATAATTGACAAAATGTTACGATGGAGCATAACTCTCCTGAACTCTCTCTTTCAGCTAGAGGGCCAGGATCTTCTCTCAAAAATGTTTGTGATTGTCCATGCTACGTTGACCACATTGGCTCAGACATTTTCATTTGAGGGTTCTCCTGTAGCTGCCTTGCCTTGTCGCTGCATATTTGTGCTGACTGCAACAAAATCTTTGAGCTTCTCGGTGCGAATAGGCTCCTCAATTAGGTTTTGGAGGTGAATACATTCCTTTGTGTCATGTCCATGGTCACGTTGGTACTGTTAGTGCCACTTTCGACCTCATAAAGTTAGGGTCTTCTTGAGTTGTGAGGCTAGTTTAAAATATTCCTTGCTCTGGTTGGTCTGGACTATTTTGGCCATTGACACGTTTAGGGGTGTCAAACATTGCATTTACTGGTAAACATGCGGTCGCGCATAATACTTTGTCGATAGTTGATGGTTAAGAAGAGACGATACAATATAGGGTTGTCGATTTAGAGCAGACCAACAAAAGATTTGAACAACGCTACATGGTCAATTGCGTCATTCTTTCGTTTGTAAGAATCCAGGTGAGGGATCATAGCTCGGGCAGGAGTATGCCTCTTTGATTTGGCGAGTGAACAATCCTTCTACGAGCGGTCAGACAGACACTCGCATCTGTTCTTCCCATCACCTGTTTGCCTCTCCAGATGCACCGGTGTCAGTGTGTTGGGACTCGCATTGTCCGTTGGTTCCTGACTTGGTTGTATGGAGTAGGTGAGTTTGTCGGTAGGGGTCTTCGAGAATGAACCTCATAAGGTTCCGCCTCCAAATGGGGCAGGTGATCGTTCCTCTGGGTGATTGCTGCAGTAGGATTTCAAATTGCTCTATCATGAGGGTCATTTGGGCTTGTAAGCCCTGGACTTGTGCATGGACGTCTGGTTGTACAGCATCTCTGTTGGGCTCCATGTGTGTTTTCTCTCTTTGGGAAGCTTCTTCTTCGTAGTATTTTCCACGTCTCATCTATGGCATTTCCACGCTTACCGCACCACATTTTAGGATGTTGAATCTGAATTTGTCCTTTGTAAACACACCCCAAGAGTTTAGGATTGAGTGAAGGACGGAAAAGAGAAAGAGAGTATAGCAAGTTAGAATTTTCTGTAGAGAGAATCGAGAGTTGTCTTATTTATAGGAGTTTATTTTGTACAATTATAGAAATGATGGAGTGGTTATGGAAACTCGTCTTAATACATTTGATGCTTTAATTGATTGTATTGATTTCATATCATATTTGCATTACAATTTTAATTTTAACATGGTGGTAGTTAGCTGGCCAACTTACTTTTATTCGACTGATTGAGACAACCAGCTAAGTGGCTACTTTGTCTTTTGAAGTACGCGTCGGTCGGCTGAGGCCCTTGGTCGGATGTCGATTTTGTCCGCTGCAGTAAAGGCGGGTCAACTGATTTGTTGCGATGAAGGATTCCCGCCCATGCCTCAGTTGATTGGGACTATCGATGTGGTCTTTCGTTTGAATCACTCACTATGGCGTGTCAGCCGATTCTTCACCACACGGTTGACAGTAGAGCGGTAGGACGGCTTGGTTGTCTGTCCGTCGCCTAGGCCTTTCGAATGCTTTGAGATTCATGCTAACAGTTGTAGTGTATACAATTGCATTTAAACCGCTCAAGTATTTCGCATCACATAAAAAATACCAAACTTAATTTTTAAAAAGTTAAATATACATTTTCATACGCAAAGGTGGCATGCATGTAAAAATTGAAGTTTGGTGTTATATATATATATATATATATAAATACAGAAGAATCTAAGCGGTATGCATGTAAAATCTTCTTTTTTAAAAAAAAAGATAGAGCCATAAAGTTCCTTTCATGATGCATAAAATTATACCACATTCGCTTGAAAAACAAAATAGCGTACTCTTCCACTTTTAATGATGATGATTCCTTTTCAAAAACAAATAAAGTTTATTAATGAATTTTCTTCATGATGATAATACACTCTTGTTTAATGAAAAGATATTATAAAATTTTTCATAAATAAATATTTGTTTTCTTTTTCTTTTTTTGCTACAACTTCTCGATCTAAATTCTCTCACCATTTGTTTCTAAATTCTTACCCACCTAATGTATGTGCAACACACTAACTCAACTACAAGGCCTGCATGCAAGTTCACAATACAAGGAAACCGTGGGCAAATATTATCAACAATCCATGAGACAAAAAAAACATAGCCCATGAAGCAACATTTCTCTAGAAAATCTCTACATGGAGAAGTACTCGATGCTCTCAAATTCGAAATTCGACCAAACATATATTTTGCCAAAGAGATGGTCCACAACGATCAAGCTTAGCAAAAGGTTGTTAACATATTGAAATTAAGAAACCCCACTTTAATTTAACATAAACATCCCCACTGAAACGAGTTTAAAGTAATAACTCCACAAACAACACCAACAACAAAGTATACACTTCTTTTCCCAGAAAAAGGCTTGTACCAGCTGAATCACTTTGAATACATGTTAACAATTAATCTCATTTGAAAAACCCAAGCCTCACAAGTCACCATTTAATGAACCTGTTGTTATAATGAATCTCCAGGAAACGTCGAGTTACCATCAGTTTCCATAAACGAGCAAAGCCACAGTAACTCCCAAAACAGTAGCTATTACAGGGGAGATGCTTCGAATCATGCTGGCCGAGCTTGTAGAGTTGTCGGTTTTGATGACATAATTGGAACAGTCGAGACCGTCCTTCCCTTCGCGGCATTCGTAAGCAAAAAGGCCGGGAGGATATTTTCCATGGATATTTATGTAGCTAAACATGGTGGTGGCACAATCATTTGTGAGATCATTAAGCTGCTCTGAATAAGGGCAGGCAAATTCCTTGAAGGCTGAACAGCAAGGTTCAGGACGATATTGGGGTCCTTTGCACTTATTTGTGATGATATTGTAGTCCATGTACTCAAAATTTATGGGGCAACCTGGATGTAATAGAATGCTTAAATTAACCCTAACATGATGAAATATGATCACATATCCACTCCAGATTAAAAAGTAAACATAATTATCTGCACCGAAGTATTGGACGGTTGATGTTCTCTTTAAAAATTATGCATAAGCATCAAATTGACAATACTTGTAAATACAAGTTAACTTGAGACAGCATGTTTAAAAAGAAACACATAGCTTGAACAATATAGAAAGAAAAAATGATTATCAACACTGAATTAAGATGCAGACAGAACAACATTAAGGTGGTGTAAAGGAGCCGTAAGAGTTGTCAAAAATCAACCTAAATGCTCCGATTTCTACATTTATGCTAAGGTATATGGAGTGAGGTGCATGGTCACATTGTTTATTTATTTCTTTATTTATTTATTTTGTAAAATTTCAATAATAATGTTTTTTGCGTTACTTGGAATAATATTTTCATACTATTGTCCTGTCAAGTTAAAAGTTTATGTTAGAAAGTCTGCATATTGCTCACCAAAATTTTTATGAATATGCTGCCTAAAGATTACACAATTATTCTCTCAAATAAAAACACCAGAAGAATATACCGTGTAATTGTAATTAGCTAATTGCTCCTGATGCTCTCCACCGAAATATAATCTAAGAACCAGAGCAGGTCTTGGCAAGTCAAATTCAAGTTTTTATATGATAGTGTTTGATATAAGAAATGAATAACCAATGGACCTATTACGCCATATGACTTGCTTATCTAGTTATATATCTATATCTATCTATCTATCTATCTATCTATATCTATCTATATATATCTATCTTCTATATATATATATATATATATATATACATCGCCGTATTTGAAGTTTTTTTTATGTTGTATACACTATATTATAGAATTGGCTTTTCTTAATATTATTTGTCATTTGATAGAACTAATCTTTGATACTATATCTCCATTCCTACATCGCCGTATTTGAAGTTTTTTTTATGTTGTATACACTATATTATAGAATTGGCTTTTCTTAATATTATTTGTCATTTGATAGAACTAATCTTTGATACTAGACCAAAAAAACAAAGAAAAGGTTACCCGATGTATCACACAGAGATTAATCAGAAAGCTTCAACAGCACTTTGATACATTTTATCCTAAAAAATAAGTTTACTTGCAAGATGTTTAATCAGCATGTGATTATCATATCGCATGTCAATTAAGTTGGTACAGTTTTCTATAGTTGATAATTAATTATTTTGTTACAGCTATTCCGTGATATTCAATAATATACATGCCACATTAAATATGGATTATTATTTAATGCTTAGGGAAAGCATTTAACTATGGAAATATCCTAAGAAAGAAAAATAAGATATTAACAATAATTCCAGTATATCTTATATGGATAATTATAAGAGCTTTTGAATATATATAAAAAGAGAGAAGCACGAGATAGGATTAAATTGTCCATTAAAGACCTTTGTCTTTACATCAACAAGGGAAATGGGTTTATGTTCATAAGAAAATCGCCAAGAGTGGATACCTACCCTCATGGTTTTGGACCAGCAAGCACAAATGGCAGAACAAAGCTAATTGTCACAACTAGAAGAACAAATTATTATTCGAAGTCCAACACCATTCCTACAGTGTATGTTTTATAAATTCATGAGTGCTAGGCTAAGATTAACTCCTAAAGAGTCTAAACTTCAATTTGATGAAATCACTACTAAGTATAGATCAGGGTATCTAAATACACCTAGCATGACGCATAATAGTAAGCCCAGATTTTGATTCATCATTTTATTTTATTTTTAATAATATTTCAACTTCTAACCTTTACGAAGAATTGTTGGTTTCTTCAATGATGGAGCCGAGGCTTAACTGGGAAATTATAAAAATTAATGGGAAAGGAAGCCATTGATGGAGTCAAGACTTAACTGCATGCCCCCATTTTTCTTCCATATACTGCTCCATAAGCAGTGAAATGTGGCATCACTTCATCATTACGTACCATTATGAGTATATATTCCTATAAACCATCATACAAAAGAAGCTAGAGAGCGTCATGATTAACAATTATACAGTTATAATGGAATTTAGCTTCTACAGAATTTGTAGTTGAGCATGCTACGTTGAAGAGAATGATGAGAATCAGAAGAAACTTTAAGAGCAGTGGTATTAAATCTCACATGGAAGAAATGCCTGTTAAGTGTAATAAGTATATAAAAATAGTTGTATACATGCGCATAAATATAATGTTATTGTATGTTTTGTATAGTAAATTTTTTTTAATGCCATGCAGGAAGTTCACAGGACAACAAATCGGGGAAAAAAATATCAAAAGTTCAGTACCAGAAATACCTAGCAATTTCTGTAGCAGTGTCGGTTACAGTGCCAGGGCTCCTGGCCCAGGAAAAAATGTCCCAAACCTGAGAGCTAGACACTATGGCACCTAGAATGAAGAACGCCCATTGGAGCGCCACAATGCCGCATAGCAACAGGTATCATGAACCACCATTTTTAAATTTTTTTGCACGTTATGACAGGTTCAACAGCGAATTTTGCCAAAATTAGATAAAAAGGGACTTTCTGAGAGTTCCGAGAAAGGTTTTAAAGTGTTTGAGAGTGTAAGATACACTTGTTCTGTATGAAAGTAGAGTCCATGTGCAATGTGTATGTAAGTGAATTTGATGTGTAGTGGAGACTGTTAAGAGGAATTCAAAGGGAAAGCACATTGTAGAAGATGATTGGCTTGGAGCAAGAAGAAATTAAATCCAGGTGTATTCTTACTTTACTTTTTTTTTTTTTTTTTGGTAAACCTTGATTTTGTTTCAATGAAATTCTTGTGTTTTACGTATCAATATGTAGGAACTAAACTTTTCTTTTCTTTGGATTAGTATTGTGAAATCGTTGTTTATTTGAAAAATAAATTGATGTGTTAATATTTAGCGACCAGAAAAATTAAAATTACTTGTGATCTAGTACTATTGATCATAGTCTAGAAGATTAAATAGGTTAACACAATTTCTTGGTGGAATAGGAATATTGTCATCAGAAGATTGGAATCATGTAGGGAATCCAACGAGATTTTGCAGACTTAAGGGCACTTAACCATAATATGTGACTCCAATGTTTTCTATGTTTGGGAATATAGTAAGAAGTGATAGTCCCTAGTTGTCAATAACATTAGAAAAGAATTTGGTGGAAAAACAATTGAATTCTCACAAGATCTGATTCAAAAAAAAAATTCTATCTAAAGCAAAAGCTCAAATATCAGCAGGTGCAGTTTCTCTAATTTAAGAATTTTAGAGAACCCTTCAAAAATATTGAAACATTTGAATTGAACTTAGAATTAGTAAATACTTGTACTACTTGATAATTAACTCGTTCATCATGAGATCGATTTATCAATTCAAAATCCATATACAACTTAATCGACATATATACTTGAATGATAATGAGTGTTTCACTGCATTTCGGATCAATGCCCACTTTACGTGTACAAAATTCATGTTTTCAATTATTTCTAACAATGTAAGCTAAATGTTTTGCATTTATGTTTAATAAGTACCACATAACTCTTGAGAGAACTCTCTAATTAAATAATTTCCAACTATTCCCTCAACGAGAACTATCATGTTTAGCACTGTTTATTAAAACAAAACTTACCATACACTTAACATCTGCCAAATAAAATCAATGACATGACAAAAAAACCAACCAAAACCATGAAAAAAAAATTCAGGGCTCCAACCTAGAATCTCATGTATATGAAAAATGTTGAATCTTAGAGCTACTAGGATTAAAACCACAGCAAGTCTAACCCAAATGGCTATCCATGTCATGATGGCTGACTTAAAAAAGTTAGATGGCAAAGGATTGTGAAGACATGTCAAAGTGTTGGATTTAGGGCCCGTTTGGGGCAGATTATTTAGGTGCGGCGGCTTGAAGAGCCCGCCCCCGGGTCTTGTGTTTGGAACCTGCGTTCGCGTGGATTATTCCTGCCGCAGTGCATTAACTTCTGTGAAACCTTAATAGGTTTGTGACGCGGGGTGGGGGCTGCGTCCCGCGTTCAGCTCGTGATATTGCCCTAGTTGCCCCTCTTCTCCCTCGCGCTCTCCCTCCCTGGATTCGTCCCCCGTAGAGGAGATCGGAGAGTTTCCTTTCGATTCGTCCCCCGTCAATCGCAAGGTATGCTTTCCCTCACCGTCAAATCGTAAGGAATGTTTCCTCTAGAGCGATCGAACGTCGGTGGCCGTAAATGGTTCTTTGTTGATCCACGAACGTCGTTTATTTGTATAGATCCGACCGTAAACCTTGTTTATTGCTTGACCGAAGATTTCTATGCCATTGTCGTCTTCGTTGTTTTTGAACTCCAACAATGCGAGTGGATTTCTTTAGCTAAATGTTTATGTGCTGCAAATAATGTCTCTATTAAGGATCCTGTTTCGATTTATGGTAAAAGCCTAAGTGTCAAACCTAATGCCCTGATATCATATAAAAAATAAGAGGATGAAAAATGCTTGCTGCATTTAAGGATCCTGGTTACACCATCAACTTTCTATTTTTTGTGGCAGTATATATCTATGGAATTGTGTGTGTTCTATTCTTATTTTGCTTCAAGCATTATTGCATATAGTCTTTCACCGTTTGAGTGCTTTCACAAGATGATTGGCATTATACACTGAACTTGGCACGAGAGAGATGATTTTCTGCATATTTGCGAGAGAAAATGTATTGCCACGCTGAGATGATTGATATTATCCTGTAAAGAGTGTAGTGAGCACAGTTATCTCTAAACAAGTTTTATAAATGTTAACCTTTATGTTTATATGTGATGCCTATAAAGATTCAAAGGGTTATGGGATTAGTAATCCTGTTCAATGAAGTTTTGAGGACTAAAAAAATGTCAAAGAATTAATGAAAAAGCATTTTAAAGTGCTACAAAATTTCTACATTACTTTGTTTTGAATGCATTTAAAATGCTACAAAATTTCTGCATTACTGCATTACTGCAGT